CCCCCACACACAAAACTCTGCAACAATATGAAAGAATCCGGAAAGGACATGTACCACGTACAGTTTCATCGAATAACAACACTGCAGTGGCGTCGAATGGCAGAATGATAGATGAATGATGAACTTGAAGTGGGTGGAACGAAGGGGTCGTGGCCTATTCGAGGTGCCATCCCGGCAGCACTATGTTTGGTGTCCCAGCCGTGATTCGAACTGTGTGTCTCCCCAGCTGTGGATACATGTATTCCTAACGACTGCCAATCCTCAAAGACGTTTCAGAAGCAGAGACGCCCCAACAATAGGAACTTCAGATCGCCAGGAAGAACTGATTAACATATTCACTTTCATTCAAACTATGCAGCACGGACGGGATTAACAAACATCACGTGATCGGTAAATAAACCCTTTGTGTAGAATTATCGCTGCCGTATAATTTTACGGTCTGGCGCCTGATTTCACATTGATTTATCGGTTTACTCTGATCCCCCTGGGAGAGCGGCCACCAGAGAAGCACCCTTCAGGGAATCAGGCTTATACACACCATGAGCAGGAGCAAAACTGTGGGAAGAACGGGTATTAACCCTCTAAAGCCCAGTGGTTACTATATGTACCAAATGCTTTCACATACCAAAACTTTGCACTCCGACCACAGAGTGTATCTGAGTGTTCCGTGTGGTTCTCACAGTAAACAGTGGCTGTTTCCTTAAACAGCATTAACCGGTTGGGCTCTGTAGCGGAGACGTAATGTTTCCTGTAAGGTACGGACTGAATTATTTAGAAGCGAAATAGACTTTAAAGAGTTAGAACTGGCTTCAATGTTAGTCCTACAGGTCTACACAGCTACGTCCTACGACAAGAAGGTGTAGGAGAAGCTCCGTGGCTATAGACCTCAATTCTAATGTTCTGAGTTGTCAGCTTCACGCATTGGTCGCTTTATCCCTGCTAGCCACTGAACAGGACGATGGCTGCACGTTAAGCTGGCGATGAAGTGAGGAATATTTCTGTTTCGAACTAAATTTCGTCTGTAAAATAAAGTACACCAACATGTCGACAATGCGAAAGTGCGACGTTACGTATCACAAGTTTGCGGGAAGTGGCGTTATATTAGTGGAAAAGTGTAAGATTAATTGGTAAAGATTAATAATCCACGCGCAGTTCCTGCTAGCCTCGGCCCCAAAAGGAACGAATCCGATGCCATACTGAGCAGGTGGCGTGACGTAACACGCTAACAGCGGACAACTGGACACGCTCCAACATACGGCAGTGCATATGAGAGTGCAAGGCGCACGGCTGGTATATAAATACACTCTTTTCTTCATTCGAAGTTCCGTACTGTTTTCTTTCCTTTTTCAGAGAACAGGGTGAACAGAAAAG